GGACCAAGGCCAGGGACTATGGAAAGAAACTTCGTTAAGCAACAAAGCCCAGTTATGTTTTCAACAACCTTGACTTAGAATTCTTTGCATGAATAAAGCCCATTTCTTCCGAAACCAAAGGCAGTGTCAAGAAAAGACTCTGGTAACACCTCATTGCTTCAGAATTTTTACCTGCATATGGCAAGTGGCCAGGCTTTTACCATTGCAGTTTCCTTGCTCTCACAGGAGGCAAATTCAGTCCAAAAAGTAAGCTATTTCTTGTTCCTTCAAATAAAAGCTTTAATAAATGAAATCCTTGTAACTTTGTTGTGCTTAGCTCTCAATGGGTTTTCAGATGTGCACACAACCCAATGCGTACAAACAAGAAGCCAGCTCAGAACACAGTGATGTATAATTTCTCATTAGTCTGTGGATTGGCTGGGTAGCTGCTTGCCTGTTTGCTCACTCACGTGGCTGTATTTGGCTGGGATATTCTGCTAGGCTGGAAGATCCGAGATGTCTTATTCATATGTCTGGCAGTTTGGGCTGGCTATCAGGTAGGTCACCTCATTTCACGTGTCATTCTTATGACTGCACTTCTAGAAGGTGAGGCCAATACCCTGATGTAATTCCTTCCTGTATGGCAACATTTTATAAAAGTGAAAGCAGAAGCTACAGGACCTTTTAAGGTAGAGGTTCTCACTGACACAATGTCATGTATGCCACTGGTACAGCCAAAGCAAGTCACATGGCCAACACAGAAACAGTCTAGGGAAATAGACTCTATATCTTGACAGGAAAAGTCAAAGCTTTGTGCATAGGTTTAACTTATCATACTTCACTCTCTCGACACAACTATTTTAATATGCAAAATATTTAATACAGGTTAATGTTATTATTACTTAACGATCTTGTTTTGGTGGGAGATCAGGAGTAGGCTTTTAAAATGTTTGCGGTTGTTCTGATACAGTAGGTTAAGCCACCGCCTGAGATACGGGCGTCCCACTGGGCATCAGTTGGTGTCCTGGCTGCTTTACTTCCAATTCAGCCCCGTTAGTGGCCTGGGGAATGAAACAGAAGATGGTCCAAGTGTTTGGGCCCTTGCCACTCATGTGGGCAACCCAGAGAAGCTCCTTGCCTTGGCCATTGTACTCATCTTGGCGGTGAACCAACAGAGGAAATATATCTCTTTCACTAATTCTTTCAAGTACATAAAAAAGCCAAAAAACAAAACAAAATGTAATTTATTCATTTATTGTGACCTAAGAACTAAATGAACTGTTGTCCATGCACCCAGCATGTAGCATGGTGAAGCTTCAACAGGATAGCTGTGACACAATTCCTTGTTTTAAGAAACATTCACTAGTTTATATTCCTGTTGAAGTTCAGCTGGGCCTGGAGCAGCAAGGATGCTTTTGGTCAGGGTCTGTTAATTTATTCCCTGGGAGTGGTACTCCCTTATTCTTCATGCTGCCTCCTAAGAAGTATTTGTATTTTACTAAAAAAAAAAAGCCCACATCTGCAATTTAATATTTTCTTATCCTGTCACCTGCCCACTGAACTATGACACTTTTGAGTCCTCTTTATTGTCCATAGTATTTTAAGGTGACAAGAAATTCCTTAAACTTTTATGGAGTTTAGAGTGCCAAGAAAATTCAATGGCGAAGGAATTGTCTTTTCCACACAGACAAAAAAAAAGTGTTGGGACAATTGATTGTCTGCATGAAAAAGAATGAAACTGGACATCTTCCAACGCTATTTGACAAAAAAATAGGTCACAGACCTAAAAAAGCAACCGAAAGGGTGAGTGTTGTGGCATAGTGAGATAGGCTGCTGCTTGGGATGTCTGCATCCCATATGAAGAAAGCCTAGGAAACAGTCCTCCACCCACTGCTGACCCAGCCTCCTGCCAATGTTTTGAGACAAAACAGCGGATGACAGCCTAGGTACATGTGGGAGAACAAGACGGAGCTCCTGGTTCCTGGTTTCAGCACAGCTCAGACCAGACTATTGTGGAATTTGGGAGTGAATCAATTGACTATATTATTAAGTATGATAGAAAGCCATGGTCCTTGAATGAAAGGGATGAAGTAAAAAAAAAAAAAAAAAAAAAAAAAAGCTGTGTAAAAGCTAAAGCTTGCAGAGACCAGATGTTTGAATAATGGCATATAGTTCAAAACTGTAGGTATCCGGGGCCCGGCGCAGTGGTGCAATGGTTAAGGTCCTCGCCTTGCACACCCGGGATCCCATATGGGCACCGGTTCTATTCTGGCAGCCCGCTTCCCTTCCAGCTCCCTGCCTGTGGCCTGGGAAAGCAGTCAAGGACAGCCCAAAGCTTTGGGACCCTGCACCCGCGTGGGAGACCCGGAAGAGGCTCCTGGCTTCGGATCTGCGCGCTCACTTGGGGAGTGAGTCATCGGACGGAAGATCTTCCTCTCTGTCTCTTCTCTCTGTATATCTACCTTTCCAATAAAAAACTAACAAAAATAAATCTTAAAAAAAAACCAAAACTGTAGGTATCCGGCCCAGCTCTGTAATTTTCAAATGTGTGACCTGAATGTTAACATTTAATCATGCTAAACTTCAATTTATCAATGTGGAAAAACCTACTCATATGGCTGCTATTATTGCATATAATGTGTAATATAGTGCCTGGAATTGGTTAGCCTTCACAAAAAATGAGCTACTACTGCCTTTAAGCACTTCCTCTGTTCCCAGCTATATATTTTCAAGCTAACAGTACTTACCTATTATACTGAAAATTCAATTATTATCCCCTACAATATAAATGTTTATTAGTCTATTTGGATGAATTTATACTTAAAATGTCTACTGGCGGGACTGGCATGGCAGCCCGGTGGCTAAAGTCCCTGCCTTATATGTGCCAGCATCCCATATGGTTGCCACTTTCCCATCCAGCTCCCTGCTTGGGGCCTGGGAAAGCAGCTGAGGATGGCCCAGGGACTTGGGACCCTGCATCCGTGTAGGGGACCCAGAAGAGGACACTGGCTCAGCTGAGGATGGCCCAGGGACTTGGGACCCTGCATCCGTGTGGGGGACCCAGAAGAGGACACTGGCTCAGCTGAGGATGGCCCAGGGACTTGGGACCCTGCATCCGTGTGGGGGACTCAGAAGAGGACACTGGCTCTTGGGTTCAGATTGGTTCAACTCTGGCTGCTGTGGCCACTTGGGGAGTGAAGCAGCAGGCAGAAGATCTCTCTATCTCCTCTACTCTCTATAACTCTAACTTTCCAATAAAAAATAAATCTTAAAAAAAAAAGAGCCAACTGGCATACTTATTTTTTTAAAAAAAATTCGCTGAACTATTAGAATCTGAATATCGATTCCTGGATTAGTGAAAAACTCATGCAAAAGCATTTCAAATCAGAAACTTCACGTATCGGCCTTTTAGGAAGACAATTTGGAAATGTTTATGAAAAAGCTTGAGACACAAATTCTACTAAGTTACAATAAGGAAATAATCAGGTGATGTACTAGAAAAATCCATTAAGGTTTTAATTACAGGAAACGGCTGAATCTTTACAATCAAAACAGGGTGTTAACTTGTGGTTCACTTTCAGAGTACAACTATCAACATAATGATATAAAACTAGTCCTCTCTCATCCATGGGGTGTTTCAGTGGATAACTGAAACCTTATGTAGTACCAAATAGTAACCATCTGTCTCTCTGTCTATCTACCTATAACACAGAATGGCTCTTTTCCTATACATTCCGAGAAGGATTTAATATCGTTCCATCTTAAGTACTACTGCACTATGCCTTTAACTTTTACAATTTGAGGAACAATACAAAATTTTTTTAAAAATTCTTTTTCTTTCTTAAAATGCAGCTAGAAGATTCCTTCTTACCATAGATGTTAGCAGCGTCAGCGTTTTTCTTTCCTTATTAAGAGCAGAACCTTCACCTTTTCACTTACAGGAATCACTTTAAGACTGTTTTGTTTTGCTTTGTTTTGTTTTGTTTTCTTTTGTTTTGTTTAGCATAGCCAAAATGTTAGCATCCACTACTCCAGTGCTTTGGGGATTTTGTTAAACGAAATATTGTTTACCTGAACACAAGCAAGCTAATTCTATGAGAACAGAGCTTATAACCCAGGCAGAAAGCGAGCAGGAGAGGGCAGTGCACACAGCACGCATGCTCAGACACAGGAACGACCCCCGCCCTGTGTGCACCTGAGCCGGATGGCAGGAGACGTCACCAGCTACCCAGACTGGCACACAATTTATAACCATTATTTCTGGAATTCCCCGTTTTTTTATTTTAACTAAAACTGCATAAAGTGAAACTACTGATGGCAGTGCAAAGGAGTCCTTCTGTTTTATTAGCTGAAAAAGCACGCTATGAATGACCGACACACACACAATGTAAACTGCTAATATTAACAATGTGTGAATATTACAGAGAGGGAATGTCAGTTTTTTTCTACTCTTCATGTTTTCTGCATCTTCCAGATTCTATACAATGGGAAAAAAACATATTTTTCTGGAAATCTATATTGGATTATTTTCATTATGTCATATTTTTACAATTTTTGTCCTTTATTATATTTAAGTCTAAATAAAATAAGCATTTATAGCTCCTACGGTGGCAGCTATAGGACAAAAGAACTGAATTTTTAAAAACGCTATTTCTAAACAGAGTATTTCAATAAACCATGCTGTTGGAACACATAGGAAAAACTTTGGCAATATCTGACTTAAGACTCAGAAATCTAAGTAGGGCCAACAACAAAGAAACATAATCTAAGAGGTAAAGAATATTTCCATTTAATTAAATAATCATTAGCAAAAATTTAAAAACAATAACCTTAAAAATAAAATTGCAGTAAAAAGTATAAAATAAGCATGTAATTAAAAATACATTAAAACTAAGCATTGTCACAACTACATAAATACAAGATATTTGTGAAAATCCTTAGACATGGAACATTCTTTAAATAAAATATTTGTGCATAAGTTTTAAACTATGGAATAGAGGACTTAGTAAAATTTTATAGTTGTCCTAAAAACAGTGCTTCTGTCTCATTTCTTGCTTGTCTTTTCCAACACCCACTGAATTACCTGTGAGAGAAAAGATAGGTGACTGTGGTATATCCCTGGTGGAAATACAAGTAATTATAAATCTGCAGCAACTTCATAGGAGTATGGTAGAAAGCTTTAAAATAAACACAATATAGCTAAACCTTGCAGTGAAAACCATATTTTATTTGCTAAGTAACACTTTTTGCTGCACTTCCAATGTGAGTTCAGTATTGTTCTCATTCGACAAAGTGACGACTCTGGCTCCTTTCTACAGGAAAATACATCTTCAAAGTGTTACTCAAAAGAAACTGAACTTTGTCAGCATCTAATCAAAATGGATTAGTTTTTTCCAGCTCAATGGGTTACTTGTATTTTTCTTTTTCTCTCAACATAATTTTAGAAACTCTTTTGTTAACAGAGCAACCTATTAAGCACTCTTAAACACTCTGCTGGAATAAGTCTACGATTAAGTATCTAAACGAGCTTTCACAGGCTCAGGGTTGGGAAGACCACTTGCTAATGATAACTGTATGAAGAGCAGCGGCAGAGCAACTGTGACCTAAAGCACTAATCGGACCGGAAGCAGCTTCCTGGTGATAATCTATTTACCTGAACAGCATTGTTGTTTGCAGTTTTCTTCATTTCTTCAAGTAAACCCCTTGAGGTTTTAAGATCCTAAACATAATAAAATACAGTATTCTGTAATTTGCATATTAAATTAGAGAACTCATTAAGGAAATTTGATATTATCCTAAGTCATTGTACAAGTATCAACGCAATTATGAACATACTATCCCCAAAATCCAAGACATACTCGCACACTCCCAGCGGTGCTGGACCTGCTCTAAGCCTGGTGTCCTACCACGACAGCCACTGCGGCTGCGTGACCCGGGAGATTAATCTCCAGGCTGTTTCTGAACTTTTTCCTGGAGAGGCACAGAGACCGAACGCAACGGAAAGGGAGCGTGCTCATCTGCTGGCTCACTCCAAGGTCCATCAGGCTGCAATGAAGCCAGCTGGCTGGGAGCCAGGAACCCAAGCCAGGACTCTCCCTCAGAGGGAAGCAGTGAGGCTGTATCCCCACTCTCTCACGGTCCAGATGAGCCAGAAGCTGGAGCTGAGACCTGAGCTGGGAGTCAAAGCCAGGCACTGTGATAAAGGTGCCCAGGCATCTTAACTGGCATTATCACACCATATATCTGTGGTCTAACATATTCCTTTTTATTTTAATTATTTTTATTCATCATATATTCATGTTTATTCTAATTTTCATTTATTTTTAATTTATTTTAAAAGCAAAGTTATAGAGACAGAAGGGAAAAAAGAGAGAGAGATGGGAGAAGTGGAGGAGGAATGGGGATTGAGGTGAAGGGAGAGAGAGAGAGAGAGATCTTCCATCCACTGATTCACTTTCCAAAGAGCCACAATGGCTGAGACTGGGCCAGGCCAAATCCAGTAGCCAGCAGCTCCATCTGGGTTACATGGGTGTGGGGGTGGGATGGCGGATGCCTCAGTACTTCCGCCATCTTCTGCTACTCTCCCAGAACATTAACAAGGAGTTGAACTGGAAGTGGAGCAGCTGGGACTGGAACCGTCACCAATGAGATGCTTGATCTGTACCACAATGTCAGCCCCAACGTTATATTCACTTTTAGGCTGACTTATAAAAAACCTTTCTGTCCTGTCTTTATATCTTTTTGGTTATTTCACTTCATTGAACATGGGATGATAAAGGAAAAAAACCTGTAAGTTTGAACATTATATCCAATTAGATTGAAACATTTTTAAACAGTCTGAAGGCAGTCTGCCGGGACCTTATCGTTAGGCTCCACAATAACAGGCACTTCCAGCTCTGTCGGTTGTTCCCCTTATTCCTACCTTCCTGATTCCACCAATACCCCTCTCGCGGCACATGCTGATCTAATCAACACAAGCAGTGACTACAGATATCTGTGATAGTAATTGTGCATTCAGGTCTCAAACACCCACCTCTCTTCACTTCCTCTCAATTACAGTTGCACCATCATTTCTGATTAGGAAATAGTGCCTGCATTATTATATTAGGAAAATAACTGAGCTAATTATAACTAGTATATTATGGCTATGATTTTTCTGACATCCGATGTTCTGTTAGTCCTGTAGTTGAGCTACCTTTTATTTTTTGTTTATTTATTTGTTTTTCATTTGCTTAGTTCTCCGTGTAGGTAATTCTGATCCCCTTTGCCCTCACATACTAGTAACAGACCGATTAAACGTGCAGCAAAGTTCTCTTAAGTACTCAAGTGTACTGGGTCATCTCTCAGTCATGTCTTCCTGTTTCTATTTTTAGTTTTATTTTTCTAACCTGAGGCTGTCTCTCCCACAGCTTGCTGTAATGTGGTCTAATGGCTCCCTAGGCCTGGTCCAATTAGAATCCGCCTTCTTCACTGCAGATTAGTTTTGTTTTACTTTTTCATCCTTGTTCTGCTGAACTTCTTCCAAAAGATTCTTTGATGCATGACTCAAAGGAGATAAAGTATTTTTTAGACACATCATGTTTCAAAGCAGAGTCTTCACTGAACCCCCAAATCTGACTACGTTCTAGATAGGGCATCTAGAATATTCAGTAAAGCCTCTTCCCTTCAAAATGTGAATGTATTTTTTCATGCCAATATAAAAGAAGAAAGCTAAAACATAGCTTATTTAATTGCTTAAAGTTCTCTTGTTGTACCTCAGCCTTTTCTTGCAGCTGAGCCCAAGTCTTTAGGGAGCCGTGTTTTGGTTTTCTATGCTTAATATTTCCCAATGGCTGCCACTGCTCTTGGTTTGTTTTCTTTTTAGGATCAAGGTGAGTACTTTCATATGAAATCTTACATTCCTCCTCTGGCAATGGTCCCCTGGGTTCCTTGCTATGCATGACTGTACCTGTACATGACTGTACAGTGGAACCAGCATCCCAAAGTCATCCAGATAGATCTTTTTAATCCAATATCACATAATCTTTGGAATCTACCAACTAATAAAAAATGTCCAACACCAGCTACCATAGATCCTAGAGAGCCATTTAATATTGACTCCCATGCACAGGGAATGTTCTCAGCACCTAAAATCCTTAGGACTTTAAGCAGTTTGCTTGTTTGGTTCAAGCATCTCCTTCCAGTTGCCAGGCTTGCTGGGCTCTGGCACGCAGCCATGGGGACTCAGGGATGCCCTCCGCACTGCCCTGCAGGCCCGGATTTGAATCCATTTCTTCACTGTCTTCCAGGATATGATGCTCCTGTGGAGAAGTCCAATGCCATGTATTGACACTTTATATGTAAACTGCATTGTCTCCAGGGACTCTTCCAGGAACTCCTCTATGCCAATGACATGGGATTCCACTGAGAGGTGGCTTGCTGTAGATGTTTCATTCCCTGGGCTGGAGAGTGTGCCTGGCATCTTAAGTTCTGGGAAACTTTCTGTTGTATTTTCAAAACTCTTCTCTTCTCTGCTCCGCATTTTTTTGAAACTTCTACTATCTGCATTTGGATCTCCTGAATTAATCCTTCAATTTTCTTATTTTGTGTACAGTGTTTCTGACACTGGGTTGGATTGTGGGTGAATTTTTCATCTCAATCTGCTTAGTCTTCCCACTGAACTGATTTCATATTCTGGATTTTGTGCTCTATGCATTTTCAGGGGACAAGGACAGCATCTTGTTCTAGTCATGGAAGCAACTATCTAGCTGTGAGAGAATTACAGTTTTACGAAGCTTTAATCAACTTTCTGTTCCTTCAGAGCTCTCCATGTTCCTTTTTATTTTGGCATCCATCACTTGTCTTAGAACATCCTCCTCAAAGACTGCTATTTCTTGGCTGTGACATCACATTTAAAGAGACACCAAAAATCTTACAGCATTTCTGTGGTTGCTCATCGGTGGCTTTACAAGGCGGCTAAGTGCGACATGGTGGCCAGCTTCTAACTGTTCCTTTACAGAGCATCTCCTGCACTAGCTCATGCATGGGGAAGAGAACTGTGTGTAACTGACCTTCCAGGTCCATCATGGGAAAGGGGCATGCAGAACAAGTTCAGGGTCCCCCAGTTCTCTTTGAAGATCTTTATTTAACTTCCCTATTTTCTTTTTATAAGAACTATTTATTTTTATTGGAAATGCAGATTTATAGAAAGGAGAAACATGGGAAAGATTTTCAATTCATTTTTTCATGTCTCGAATGGCTGCAATGGCTGGAGCTAGGCCAATCCACAGCCAGGAACCAGGAGCCAGGAGCTTCTTCCAGGTCTTCCACATGGGTGTGATGTCAAGGATTTGGGAGATCCTCTGCTGCTTTCCCAGGCCACCAGGAGAGAGCTGGATAGGAAGTGGAGTAGCCACGGCATGAACTGGCACTCATATAGGATACCAGCGTTTGAAGGTAGAGGATTATCCAATAAAGCCATGTGTCAGCCTCTAACTTCTCTTTTATTTGGCCCCTTGCACCTGACCACCTTCAAATCCTGAGCACCTGACAATACTGTTAGTCACATAGGCATGGCCCTCCATGGTACTTCACAAGGCAAGGAACTTCTATGATCTTCTTCTGCTGTGTTTCCATGTACGCTTTCTTGTTCAGCAATAAAAACGGTTATAAGTCTTTTTAGTTGCCATTATGCCTGTGTTTTGTTGTTTAATACTGTTTTCTTTGAGATATTTTAGAATAGATTGCAGTATGCATGTCTACTTCTGAATAAAAGATGGGCTCCCAATGAAACTGTTAAGTATATTTTGACACTAGAATGCTGGATTTTAAACCATTCACCATAGTTACAATGTCAGAACTCACTTAAATAGCAGAACGATGGACTTGTGGCTGCTGTTGAGGGATTAAACTATTGTTACAATACAAGGGGAAAGCAGTGTTGGCTGGGATAGCGAGGAGGGGGTGGAGCCTAAGGAACTACATCATGAAAAGCAAAGAATTAAACAAACAAACAAACAAACAAACAAATAAATAAATACAAGGAGGAAATTGAATGCATATGGTCACTTCACCATTTTCACCAGAAATGGATAAATGACTTAACACCTAATCTTCCCAATGTGTTGCAATTAACTGACAAGCAATCTGAAAGTGCTAAAATGGTTGCTCTTATGTTCATTTCACCAGCATTTTGACTATGTACTATAATAAACCACTAATTATTAACTACTGTTTGAAGCTTCAACCTAAGATTTGTTGAGGAAATACTGATACCAGTAAAAACGCAGCTTTTTCTATATGGATGAACTAAAAGAAAATGTAAACTGCTTTGATTTCATCTCCCATCTAGAAACACCTGGTAACGAGCTCTAAGTAATCAGTGCAAAAAATCTTCATTTAAATAGTTGTGTGCAAACAGGCACATTGGAACAGGAACTACATTTTGCCACTAAGAGACAACACCACACCCACCTTTAGGTAGAATTTAGAGATTTCAAAGAGGCGCTGGCTGCACGCAGGGAAACATTCATGAGCCTCGGTGATACTGTGCTTCTTCAAAGTTTCAGTAACCACTTCTTTCAGTATCTAGGAGAGAGCATAACATCGGATGAATATTTATTGGGAACAGTAAATACACCATTTCAGCTTTAGAATTTAGTATTGTGTACTACACATCATTTAGTTGTACTAAATAGAAGCAAAGCATTTTTTTTAAGATTTTTTTTTTTAATTTGAAAGGCAGATTTTACAGAGACAAGGTGAGACAGAAAAGAGAAGGTCTTCCATCCACTGGTTCACTTCGCAAATTGCCATCAATTATCGGAATTGAGCCAATTCAAAACCAAGAGCCAGACGCCTCTTCTGGTTCTCCCATGTGTGTATTGTGTCGCAAGGACTTGAGTTGATTTCCTGGGTCATAAACTGAGGGTTGGACTGAAAGTTGAGCAGCTGGGACACCAACGAGGGCTCACAGGAGATGCGCCACCACAGGGCAAAGGATTAGCCTGCTGCCCGACCACATTGGTCCCCGTAAGTAAATTATTAAGACAAAACAATTGAAAGCAAAAGAAAATCGGTAATACTGATATGGTTACAAGTGTCACAGGATTTATATGTTAGCAAGAAATAACTGGAGTATCGTAAAAAGGATTCTAATCATGGTCCACATTGGAATCTGAGGATAAAGTTACAATAGGTACATATTTCTAAGTTTTCATGTTTTATTATGAAAAAAACTGCAAACTTACAAAAGTAGAGAGAATGTAACCAAGGCTTGTGTTGATAGAGATATCAATCGGCCTCACAAAGAACTTATGTCTCACTCTTTTTCACTTACACCCTCAGTCATCTACCTTCCTCCTTCACGCACTGAATTTTCAAGTCACGAACTTTCATACATTAGACTTCTAAACATACATTTCAGAATCAAATCAAGGAATGTTTCCAGGTAGAGCTCTGAAAGACAGGCAATGAATCATTACCCTTGTGTGTTTCTGTGATCTTGATTCCTTATTTTGTCTTGATGATTTGGATTCACGCACACTTTTTGGATCAGAACTGGCCTTTGTAGTGACTTTTGGAATTTCACAGCCAGGAACTGGAACCAACGGATAAGTCGCTGTTAAGGCCCGCGTAGCTCGTGGCTTTCCAGATGGGAGCACGTGGGGATGATGATTGCTACCGCCACTTGTCTGGGCGCGGAGGGGATCTGAACTCTCACATTTCATGAGTCTGCGGTAGAAGAAAAAGTTAAGATTAGTACAGGAACAATGAAACTCTTTTCCTGCCTCGAATATTAATCATTCAAACAGTCATTCAAGAAAAGTAAATAGAATTGCCTGCATCTATTGCCTTAAGGAGGCATTCCACTTCACATTATAAAGTTGCCCCGATCATTTTACCTGCTAACTACTTAATGCCGTTAACTGTAAGAAACCACAACCTATATTTTATTCTACTTATGGAATTTCCTGTGCAAAGTAAACAGTATAAAACACAATTAAAACTATAACTCAACTCTTGGATTTTTTTTTTTAATTTAAAGATTTATTTCTTTTTACTGGAAAAGCAAAGATACAGAGAGAAAAGACAAAGTTCCTCCATTGGTGATTTACCACCTCTAGTGGCCACAAAAGCAGGAGTTGAGCCAGTCCAAAGGCAGAAGCCAGGAGCCTCCTGCTGGTCACACACACAGGTGCAGGGTCCCAAGGCTTTGGGCCACCCTCCATTGCCCACAGGTGCAAGCAAAGAGCTGCTAGGGAAGTGGAGCAGCCGGATTCCAACTGTCTCCCATATGGGATACAGGCACATGCAAGGCAAGAACTTTAGCCACTGGGCTACCATGCCGGGCCCACTAACTCTTGTTTTAATTTTTCTAATCACATGTTCTTCAGTCAGGAACCAAAATTTTCCCTCTTAAGACTACAGTCTTTAATGTTCATTTCTGCTAAGCAACAGACTACAAGTACAATTTATTTTCTTCAACACATCTCTTTTATTAGTCACAGGTCAGAACTAAAAAGTACAATTTAGAAAAATGTATCGCAAATGTGAATGGATTTACATTTTAGCTGTATAGGTAGAGAAATAATTATAGGCATAAAAATTTATGAAATCATCATCAAAATTGTTTAGTTCTCTCACATCAGGAGAAAAAAAATTCTAACATTTTTAACTGTTCACAAAAGATCTGAAAATTTAATTGTTACTTATTACATAGTTTTTGAAATATTTAAATACATAAGAATTTAATTTTGCTTTAAATGCCAAAGACCTAAATTTGATCAACATTCTAAAGATATATAAATTCAATCAAAATGAGTATTGGTTATACAAATTTCTAATTTCTGAACAAGTATTTGGACACTTCATTTAGTGAGCAAAAAGAGTGTCTGCCAGAGTTTTGCTAATGCCACATTTTACAGGGTTTAATGCTGTAACTTGCATGTGATGAATGTTTTGAAAACGGGGCTTCGTGGAACACCCTGCCTGGCAGCAAAGTGAGCAGAAACAGGCAGGTCCGTCAGGAAGAAAAGCTACCAGAATTCTCATCTCTGAACACCATCTGCAACAGGGTAGATGGGTGGCTTCACGGTTTGGGAGAATTCTCCATTATTTTAGCTAATTTCCTTGTCTTGCACGCCCCGGGATCCCAGATGGGCACTGGTTCATGTCCTGGAAGCCCACTTCCCATCCAGCTCTCTGCTTGTGGCTTGTGAAAGCAGTCAAGGATGGTCCAAAGCCTTGGGACCCTGCACCCGTGTGGGAGAGCATATTGGCTCAGCTGCAGCTGTTCTGGGCATTTGGGGAGTGAATCAGCAGATGGAAGATTTTCCTCTCTGTATATCTGAACTTCCAACACAAATAAGTAAATCTTAAAAAAAAAAATTCACAATCCATTGTGCATTAAGACTCCACATATCAGCATAAACGGTAAGGAACTTTTTTGCTAAGTCATTTATTTCTATAAGGTAAAAGCAAAATCACTGCTTAGCAAAAAAATATTTCCTAGCAGGGAGGAATCGAAAGCGTATTCAGGGAGCAACTGAAAAATGTGAAAGACTAAAATAAAGAAAAGAAGCCCTGAACTCTGTGAAAACACTGTTTTTGTGCTTATTGTTTCTCACCTTTTGGGGGCGGGAAGGCAGTTCAGATCCTTAGATCTCCGCTTCAGTCGGGAGGCTTCAGTTCGAAGCTCACTTTGCAAGGCTTCTCCATCAGGGACACTTCCAGACTCCGACAGCACGGCAGGAGACGGAAGGGGGCTCAGCACAGCAGGCACTGGCAAGCTTTCCCGGGTGCAGGTCGTTTGAGTCTCGTAACGAATAAGACGAGACTGAAGTTCCGAAAATCCTCCATCTCTCTCTAAAGCTTTTCGGTCATCCAAGCAATATCTGAGATGAAAGAAAGATCATTTAACAAAAGTCTCCAGGAGAGCAACAGGCTCTCCCGGTCTCAGAAAACAGTAAGACATCTACCTTAAACAAGTTTTGCTTAACTTCCCAACAATTGTTAGAGGCTGAGTGAATGGCCTACTACTCCCACAAGATCAGCTGTTTCCTCCTTGGCTGCTCGGCAAGCAGAAGGTGAAAGTTGAAGTAGCATCTGCTTTCGCTTTGACTTGTTTCTGGGTAACAGATTAAGTTAATCCTGTGACTTATTTTCAAAATAATACAGCTGCTCTTCTAATACTTTTTAAAACTCTCCCGAGCTCTGATTTCGCAGCGTGGCTGCTACAGCACACTCTGAAACATTGACTTCTCTTGGAAAGGGCAAGTTTATTTTTGACATGAAGATTAGAAGGGTATAAGGCATTGTCAACTGCCTCAGCACACACAGCTCAGAACACTTCTTTGAAGCTTCCTCCCCATGCTACTGACTGATGAACAAGATTTCCTTCAAACACTTGATGCTTTTGGTTCCCAGCCAAGTCTGATTCAGGCAATCAATGAAACGGGAGCTCAGTGAGTCCTTCTGGACTCAAAAAAAGGAAATCCCGCGTCAGTAAGAACAACAAACACATTAGAAAATAAGCACATCAGAAAATTCTTCCGTGAGACGTGTGACCTTGCCAAGCTCTGTACTCCCTCCATCTGCAGGTGCATAAAGGAAACACACCTGTGAAGCCAAGACTGAAGAAATCGAAATTTAAACATTTCTGTATGTTTGTCTTTTTATTGTTAAGATTTATTTATTTTTATTGGAAAGGCAGATTTACAGAGAAGGACAGACAGAGATCTGTCCACTGGTTCACTCCCCAAGTGGCCACAATGGTCGGAGCTGAGCCAATCTAAAGCCAGGAGGCAGGAGCTTCTTCTGGGTTTACCATGTGGGTGCAAGGTCCCAAGGCCGTGGGCCATCCTTGACTGCCTTCCCAGGCTACAGGCAGGGAGCTGGTTGGGAAGTGGAAGAGCCAGGACACAAACCAGCGCTCATATGAGATCCTGGCACGTGCAAGGCAAGGATTTAGCCACTGCACCATTGCGCTGGGCCTTTGCTTGTCCTAGATGTTCCCTAAAATCACATTTTTGAAGTTCAATTCCAAGCAGTGTATTATTATCCAAACATTAGATTTCCTGACACAGAGTTTAAGAATTTTATCTTTTCATTGTAAAACAGTAGAAAGCGGGCCAGCAGCATGGCGTAGTGGCTAAAATCCTTGCCTTGAACATGCCGGGATCCCATATGGGCGCCGGTTCCATCCCAGCAGCCCCACTTCCCATCCAGCTCCCTGCTTGTGGCCTGGGAAAGCAGTCGAGGATGGCCTAGAGCTTTGGGACCCTGCACCCACGTGGGAAACCCGGAAGGGGTTCCGGGTTCCCGGCTTCAGATTGGCGCAGCACCGGCCGTTGTGGTCACTTGGGGAGTGAATCATCGGATGGAAGATCTTCCTCTCTGTCTCTCCTCCTCTCTGTATATCTGACTTGGTAATAAAAATAAATAAATAAATCTTAAAAAAAAAAAAAAACAGTAAGAGCCAGAATCCTGTGAGTCCCTTGTTGATCTACTTATTATTACGTGAACTCAGTCAAACTACTTAACTTCACCTGTGCCATACTGTTTTCCTTAGGAGCTGACACTTAAACTGCTTATCTGAAAAAAGGATTGTGGGAAATACAGGTAGCGATAAGCACCCACCACAAGCGCTGGGAACGTAGGAGCAAAGCAGGCACTAATAGATGAAGCTACCATCACAATCGTAAGTGTTAGGTTTGTTTTCTACCACAAAAAAAATCTTATCATATGCTGACAATAAGGTAGGATAAGCCAGGACTCAGTATCCATTTTAGCATACTATCTCTTATGCAAAGCATCATCCTACTCAGTGGTCAGCATCTCACTGAACATGAGCATCTTATGAGAGCTTTTAAGAAATACTACATGCGGTAGCCTAGTAGCTAAAGTCCTTGCCTTGCACACACCGGGATTCCATGTGGGCGCTGGTTCATGTCCCGGAAGCCCCACTTCCCATCCTGCTCCCTGCTTTTTGCCTGGGAAAGCAGCTGAGGATGGGCCAAAGCCTTGGGACCCCGCATCCGTGTGGAAGACCCAAAAGAAGCCCCTGGCTCCTGGCTTTGGATTGGCTCAGCTCTAGCTGCTGTGGCTGCTTGGAGAGTGAATCACTGGACGAAAGAGCTTCCTCTCTGTCTCTCCTCCTCTCTATGTATCTGACTTTCCAAAAAAAAAAAAAAAAATAGATCTTAAAGAAAGGGAGAAAGACAGACAGACTACATGCCCAGCCACAGTGTCTGATTTACTTGATTTGAGGAAGATGTAATCAGGCACATTTTCAAACACCCAAGTAGATTGCTTCTAACAGCTAACTGCATAAAGCTTAGAGTGGACCAGTGGTTACCAGTCAGGTGAGAGATGTCCATCATGGGATACAAAATTATGGTTATTTAAGATGAGAAACTAATGTACCACTCAACGACCTGGCTAATAACGTTGTGTTACACTTTGCAAGGTTGCCAAGAAAAAAAGACTTTGGATATGTCCACCAGACAAAAAGAGGTAACTGTGAGATGATGGGTATCTTAGTTTACTTGACTAAAGTAATCATTTTTTAAAATGGATATTAAGATGCCATGTGGTACACTTCAAATATAAACAGCTAAAAAAAAAAATTGTCAACATGTGTCCGAGAAGTAACTAGTGCTGAAAAAGTCTCCTATTTAACTGGACAGCTGTGACTGTGTGAGACACCTGAGCCCAGGGAGAACCCTCGCTGGCGGTCACGTAGAAGCTATAGTCAAATGAGCAACCAACTCTTCTCAGGAAGACTGTAGGCTTAAACAAAAAGTCTTGTGCTTGCTTACCCTGTGTATATGACACTGCTGAGAGAAAATATGCATATTGGATTCTAAAGTGAATATTTTTTCCTCCTCTAGGGTTTTATTGCTAAAATGCAGGCTTTTTCTTCCAGTTTACCATCTCTTGCTGACAGCTGTTCGTGTCATCCTTTCATCTGAATTCTGTTTGCTGCACATGTTTGCTTTAATTGGCATTTAAAATGTATTTACAATGATTATGCTGCAATTTGCTGTTAGAAAAGTTACTTCATAAATTAAAAAGGAAACCAAATGAAGGGGTTACTGTGTATTTGTCCTTGAGCAAAGTAAATATTGTGAGATGAATGACGGCGATGGCATATTTTGTTAGGAAACACGAAGTAAATGTTTTCTGGGTCCTAAGAAGGAAAACATCACTCAGATGGGGGAGCTATTTCGTTTTGTAACTAAGAAACAGGCAAAGTGCTGTCACACACGTCAGGGCAATGCCAGAGAAGGCAGGAAAAAGCGCCCAATCTCCTGAAACGGAGGAAAGACATTTCAAAGCAACAGCGGCTGGTGTGGCAGAATGATCAGCACAGTGTGAAAGCAGAGTAACATTTTTTTAAGGAAAGAATGTTACTTACAATCAATGATTTTCTACTTTGGGTTAGGGCAGAAAAGTGAAAAAAAAAAAAGACAGTGGTTGGCATATTTCGTTTTTTGCCTGAAGAAACACTGATTCACACGTAAATAGTGAGCATATTTGTTTCCAAACATTCCTTTATGGTGTCCATGGGTTGTAAAGGCCCACAGCGACAGGGGGGCAGCCCTGCACACGCATGAACCTTCCTTCTGAAGTTTGTTTCAACTCCATAAGCTATGTTCAACACACAAAGGCCCTTGCATACCATCCTCGTCCACATGAACTGTCTCAGAAGAACACGCTTCCGGATCCACGGTCCTCACCACCTGCCGTGTTGTTACTCTAGTCTGTTACCCCTGCTCAGGGAGCACACGTTCACAGTTTTGTGTCTTTGAAGTGAGTCCCAGTGAGAGCTGAGTGCTGTGTGTTTCTGGAGGTAGGCAGCGAAGAGGTGTGCTCCAGGTGAGAACGAGAGCTCTGTCACATGGCAGGTGTAAGAAGCAATAAAGGCCTATGCATGTTGTGTTTAGGCCCATCGGGAAACAGTGCTCACTTAAGCCTGAATGATTAATAAATCATGATGAAGAATACATACTCTGTAAACGCTATATATTTATGTGTACCACAAAATTTTCTATAGTAAATGGAAAGTAACAGACAAAAAAAAAGTAGAAAAATGAAATAGAATAGAGAAAGCCAAAGTATTTTAGTGACCTAAAATGTGACTGATTACATGGTGAGTACCTGAGTCAGCAGTGAAAATAGAATTATTGTAAATTATTTTATTTAAATGAGTACTTCAGTGAGTTTATAGGGCAAATGGGCTGAAAGCATGGGTGCCCAGGGGAATATTTTGGTTATTTAGTAAAGAAAAAGATAATTCTAGGATATTTACTCAGCTGTGACCATTATTTTTCATCACCATCATAATAACATCATTTACTGGCGTTAACTATCCTATGCAAGTTACACGCAAATACCTAAAATGCTAACTAGGTTCTTTTCAGAGTTCAGAAAATTAAAATTCTTACCAAACAAAATGGGGGAGCATATAAGTCAGAAGTTTAACCAGATTTTAAACATGAGAGAAAACATTAGAAAATTCAAATTAAGAGGGAAACCAAGTCCACATTACTTGCAGAAGAGTTCATAATATTTTATAATACTGACAAAATTACACGCAAAGCACAGGACACGCAACAGTCGGGAAAGCTGGAAGCAAAGCAACCAAAGAGCTGTTGCAGAAAACCGAGGCTGCAGTTAGTTACATGGTGTAAGAAGTTGCCGAGTTCATCAGAAACTTTTCCACACTGGTTAATGCTACGGCTTGAATAAAATGCAAAAGGAGGAAAGAGAAAAATATCCCAACAGTCGCATTCTTCTAATACCAGAAGCTCCACTTGAACTTGATTATGGCAAATCTAGTATAAACAAGATCCACACTTTTATAATTAATTCACAAAATATAGCCAAAGATAGAAATCATTTAAATAAAAGGTTTAGCTAAATGTAAAACTAGCCTTTTGATGTTAAAGGGAGGCCAAGAATCCTCGCCAACAACAAGTCTTTTTGTCAAATATCGGAAATAAAAATCTGGAAGTAATGGCATTTCTTATCTTCTTACAATTGAGAAATTATCTCTGGATTGCCTAGCTGTTGTTCACAAAATCATGTCAAGCTCTCAGGGGAACACTGGGATTCACATTCAGCATTTCATAAAGGACTTCTGTCAGGAAATACTCACTGCACGACACTGTCTCGCCTGAGGAGCAGGGACCCAGGTCGTGGCCATTACAACTCCCAGACAGCAGACAGACCAGTCCCCCTGGGACTCTGTGGCTCCTGCCCTGCATGGTCCTGCTCCACTACCCACCCTCCGTATTCCTAGGGGACCATCCAGCGCCCACGGTTTGAAATGGCAGCGAAACCGACCTAAGTTTTGCCCACTCGCCATCCCTCTGAACACCCCAAGAACAAAACGCCTGGCCTGCTCATGGGCTGGGCTGCTGCTGCATGTCCCTTCTGTCTACATCCTGCAGTCGGCCACCATCTGGAAATTTATTTCTCTAAGAAATGTGATTTTTGCTGTGAATTCCTCTCCCCTCTCTTGCTGTTTTGCATCTCTTTCCTAACTTATTGCTACTGTCTTCAAGTTCTTACTGTGACTGTTTTTCAACATAGATGCTGCATAATACTGCATGTCTCAATACCTCGTTCCTTGGTACTGTGGAATAGCAAAGTGTGGTATAGGTATATCCCAGTTTAGCAGTTCTATTGATACCTGCCTAGGCTATTTCCAGTTTGGGGTGGTTGCCAAGAAACTACCAAGAATATTCAGGTGCGAGTCTCTTCATAGAGATACGCCTGCACTTCCCTTGGGAAACCACCTAGTACCAGAGTTCAGAGGACTTGGGACATGAGCATATTTAGTTTTATAAGAATCTGTCAGATCCCTTTGGGAAGAAGACCCAGCTACACCCAACCAACAATGTATGCAAGTTCTGATGGTTCCAATACTTGCCAATATTTTTAATTTCCAGCATTCTTGAGGTTGCATAGATGCTTCCTTTTAGATGTACTATATTTTACTTAACCAAGTTAGATATCATTTCCTGTGTTTCTTACTATAAACACCCTTGCATGATAACGCACTGTACATCACAAATTTTTTTTTCACTAAGCTGAATTAATCAATACAGGTTATGCATTTTGTGTAACCACTGGAAAATTATTAAACAGCCTTTACAAGGTTCTTACAATCCAAATTCTTGTGCCTTCAACAACACCACCACTGGGTGTAATATTTTAGACTGATTCGCAGTTTCATGAGTGAAAAGTGACCTTACTGTTGGTTTTTCTACTAACTATTTGCTCACTAGCAAAGGAAAGTAACTTTTCCTTTGTATGCATCATTCTTATTTCTTCTTTAATAAACAAACGGCTTGATTCTGCCAGCTCTTTTATAGGGTGTTCATCGCCTTTTTTTCCCCCACAGATTTGTATTCTTTTTTAAGATTTATTTTTATTGGAAAGTTAGATATACAGAGAGGAGGAAAGACAGAGAGGAAGATCTTCTGTCCATTGATTCACTCCCCAAGTGGCCACAATGGCTGGAGCTGAGGCAATCTGAAGCCAGGAGCCTCTGCTGGGTATCCCGCATGGGTGCAGGGTCCCAAGGCTTTGGAATGTTTTCGACTGCTTTCCTAGGCTTCAAGTAGGAAGCTGGATGGGAATCAGTGCTGCTGGGATTAGAACCAATGACCATAAGGGATTCCAGTGCGGGATAGGCAAGGACTTTAGCCACTAGGCTACCGCACTGGGCTTATAAGTATCTTTTAAATATAAAGAAAATGTACCTTCTCATTTATGTTAAAAACAATTTTCTGAAATTAACCTTGAACTATGAATCTTGTTACTGTTGACTATTGACTAATTTAAAACTAGACAAACCTATCATTCTTTCCTTTTGTGGTTTCACCTTTTGAGAGAATGAATAAAAAAAATTCTACCTCAATTTTTCCCATTTTATTACAATCACTCAAAAATTATATCATCTGCACAGAGTAAAGCTTAGAAAAAACTTACTCAATTCCATGATAATGACATGCTGAGGCTTTTTCAAATGGCAAGGCCTGCAGTTTCCTAGGACTAAGTTCTGGTGTTAAGATGAAAGTCTTCTCCCTGAAGAAAAAACAATCATTTTTATTTAACATTTACTTAATAGCAAATGTAAAGTGCTTTCGAACGTGTATCTCTTATTTTTACAATTGAATTTTGTATGGGATAAAAGGTGAGGCGCTCCCGGAAGTGGCAGTTGGAACAGGAAGGTCAGGCCTGTGGCTGTGTCGAGCCCCTTGTCTGCACCTCGGCTCTGAGAACGCTAGTCAGCACACAAAGCTGTTCTTGGGAATGGACACGTGAAGGACGGAAAATGATCTGTCATGGAATCTCATAAACAATGTCATTTCCAAAAGAACTTTTTTTTTCTCAGTAGAGTGGCCTAACAGGTTTAAGATGAATCTTTCTTGGCGAAGGATTCAAGTGACCTTGACTGTTCGGTAACATCAGAAGTATTGCCTTCCCGCTGCAGCACAGGTGGGGACCGTATCTTCCCTGGCCTGCACACGCCGTCCTCCTGATCTCACTGAGACTAACTGCTGACTCCTGCCATTCTTGTGAAGTGAAGGTATGTTAGACCTAGTCATTTCATAATACACGACTCAAAGTATTTAATTTCTCTCAGTAATGTTACTTGTTCTGGTTTAATTTCACTTACAACTGGTTTTTGCTAAAAGAAACATTTCAATAAATACGCATTTGGTCAGCACGTGTTTTATCGCAGGGGTCATCCTTGCCCTTGGCTTCCCTGGACACAGCACTGTGTGACCCCTTTAGTGGAGCACGCTGGTTGCTGCTGCAGTGCCGGGAAAGCTCACCCTGCGGCACTGACGTTAGCAGACGACACGCCTGGTGACGGTGCACTTCTCCACTCACACCACAGCATGCAATCAGATTTTCCTAAATAAATCACTTGGAAACTACATAAAGAATTAATCATATTTCCCGGACATTGCACCTAGAGAGGCACTCCAGCCAAAAAAATACAATCTACATAACTGAATAATTCAGTTCCACAAGCCCATCTGACCCTGCTCATTCCTGCTTCAGCATCTGAAATGACTGCAACCCAACAGCTCTGACAGATCAAACTCTGGATGCTTGTGCACTGTTTGGATTCCCACAAAAAATAAAAAGTATTCATCTCCCAAAGCTGTGAGAGAAGGCAAAGCACCTCAAAGTTCCATCATTTGTATGTCATTATGACCATTAAGTCATTAAGACCTGGTGTTATTAGGCCACTTTGCACTTCTAAAGTTGCCTTCTACCTATCTGGCAAATATGTACATGAATGCAACAGCACTCCAATAATATTTTTGAGATATGAGAACTATCAAATAAATCCTTTCAAATCTGAGCTTTAAAAATTGATATTTACCATAGTGTCATTCAAAACAAGCTTTATAAAAATGATCTAAGTGTATCACAATTTAAAGCTTCTTTGGAAGATTTCCAAGATAATGGAAAAGCTATAAAAAATAGAAAATAGGATAATGAGCAAAATAATTTGATTCTCATAAGGATTTAGAACCATGATTTTGCCAATAATCTAGTCAATTTCAATGGTATCTAGCAGTTGATAATTAATGATTTAGTAGAAGTTGTCTAAGTCAAACCAGTTGTAAATTATCCATGAGGACACTGAGTCCTCGCTGGTAATACCATGTTTCTGACGCACTGTTACTGCATCAGCTTGTTCTTCTCAGTGCGAGGCCGATGCTTCCTGCTACTGACAATGACTGACAATGATGAGGCAAAGTAGTGACAAAACAAAACTGGAAAATAATACAGAAAACATTTTCTAAAAACTTGCAAGTCACATTCCAATTTTTTCTTCTAAGACAACTGTTCTTTTTATACCAAGTAGAAGCTTCTGACTTCCACAAACAGTATACCAAGGTTGCTTTTATTATTCCTGATTCCCTTACATTTAAAACCACCGAACAACTGCGAGAAGGGAGTAAGGCCAGCTGATAAATATCAAGCCCAAGTCAATTTTTGTTTCAGCTGCACACAGTGTCAATTAAAAAGCAGAAGGCAGTGCTATTTAAAAATTGTATGTAAAAGTAGGAATTATCATGCGTGTGTAACATACCCCTTCTGAGTCTGTAAAGGCTGAAGTTCTCCCACTGGCAAACCATCTGAAGTAAAATGCTTCAGCAATTCTTTAGCATCCAACAATGTGATCGAATCCCGTGGAACCTCTTTGTGGCCTAGCAACTGTTCAGATGAACAGGGCAAAGAGCTTGTTCTGGGAAGATGTTACATAGATTTATTAAAGGAGGATTCAAATTCACCATTGTCATGAAAACATAGAAGCAAACACCCAGAAAAAAGCAACAAGAAAATTGAATAATTATGTATTTAAAGAAATAAAGTAAAATCTTTGCAAATCATTTAGTTATATTTTTTAAAATCTGTAGGTCACTATGCATTTATAAATAACACTTCAATCATTCTACTAGTTAAGCACTAAAATAAACATAAGCATATTAGCATGAAGTTACCAATTCTGTACAATTGAAATCTGAACTTTCTTGTATGTTCTAAAACCCCACAATAACGAAAATCTTTATGGGCAGGAACTTAATGTTCCAATTTTATATGAGCTTGGAGTATTTAACGGAAAATCATGAAGTGGGGCAATAATCTAAATTCTCTAATGTGTTTTAGCCATGAGCACCACTGTATTAATACACACTGGATCCTTGAAATCTAAAATACATGCAGAACTTTATAGCTTTTAAACCATTTCACATACAATATATTCTTGATTCTAACAAATTTCCTTGACAAAGATGGATAAGATTATTTTAAAATAAAGCTGTAAGTACTTTGTAAAGTAAAATCAATTTAACAAACCTAAAAAACAATCATTATTTCTATTCCTCAGCCATAGGTTTCATTACAGATCCTAGGTGACCAAGCTGTTAAAAGGAAAGTCAAAATTATCTCAGATCAGGTGTTTTTACTTAATCACTGTATAAGCAAAGAACACAGAACATTACAAAAATTGGAAAGATGGAAATACAAGTATCTTAGTTTTAAAGAATTACAACAGTTTTATCAAGCGTTGAATTACAGGGCATCGAAGTTCTATCATCACAGCAGAAATAATATTTTTCAACATCTACATAAATAATCGATTTCTTACCTAAGTAAATTCAACTACTCCATGGTTACGCTATTAATCAAACTAGGCAGTTTCACAGATATTTAAAATATAGGCCAATTTTAGACATATTTCTGTATGTTAAGGATTAATAATAGTAACAGCATTACTTTCCCTTTCTGATTTCCTTTATTTTTAATTGGAAATATAAACCTAATAAAAAGAGTTAAATAATACACAAATATTTTCTTTGGCCTTCATATTCCAGGAGGGCAGGAACTACATTATGAGTCTAATTTAATTTCTATATAGCTGTTCCCTAATAATGACTCACAAATGTTTCTTAACGAATATTATTCTCAATCAGTGTAGAGGCTAAATGCAATGGGGAAATGTATAATTTGCATTTATATAGAACCCTGAGTAAAAAGATATCAAAGCAATTTGAAAATCTCATTTGTGATAAATTGCAATATGAGGATATGTGTTGGGTTAAAAAAAATGATAACATCTTATTTCAGTATTTTCAGGTTTACTAAGTACTTTTTCAAATATTTCCTCTTTAAATTCAAAGTAGAACCAGATTTTTTTTAATCTCCATCTTAAAGACAAGGCAACTAAGTCATACTACAGGCTGTTGAGTAAGTCTAAATCCAAATCATTATGATTTGTGAGCTTCAACATATAATTTTTCTCTGTGGCTAAGTGTTTTAACACAACATGAACTCTGAACACAGGCACTGTCCCTTTCGCTTGAAAAATCTGGTAGCATCTCCTACTCTTCTGACAATGTTCACTGGTTTTTACTGATCATTCACCTTATAACCACCATTAGGAAACACCAAAAAGAATCTAGATTAACACATAGGATATATAATCACCATTCATAATTCACTATATATGAATGACTTAGGAGAGAAAGTATGGACACTGAAATATAAATATATATAAGGACAGGATGAGGTGAAAAGTTTTATCAAAGAATAGTGTATACGGTATTCAAGGATGAAAACAACACTGAGCCACAGTGTATATATGTGAAGAGGCTTACACCAAATATTTGACCTGAATCTTAAATGAGAAACGAGCTTATAGCTTCAGCAGGCACAATAAACATAAACATTAACCTCTCCCCTTAAACAAACTGAAAACACCACAGTGAAGTTCCAAAATTTAAGTTAATAACAGACTTGGGAAAAGGAGGAAAATATAGTGGGCCAAGGGTTCAATGGTTTTTAAAGAATGGACACTACAGCAAGCAGCTCCACAAGAGCTAAGGAGATGGAACTGTTCTTGTTTTACTACAGAGTCACAGTGGTATTACATTTGGGTTTAGAGGGTGGCAACGCATACAAATCAAGGCAAGAATTTTAAGAATCTTACAGGTATCGTTGAAATATTACCTTCCCATAATCTACCTCAACTTCTTGCTTTTACCTTCATGTTAAAACCAAAGAAACTATTCTATAAGAAAACAGAGCAATGCGTTCCAAATTGACCAAGCTTATCATGCTCCAACTTTCCTTTCCCTCCTCCAATATTAATGCAGCTGGGATCAAGCAGGGAACAGACCTAAACATATGGAGAGAAAAAGCACATGCCAGCTACTGACCATATACAAACAAGCCGAGTTCCTAACTGTGAAGAGACAAAGACCATCAGACATTGGAGGAGAACACAAGAGAAAACCACCAGAGCAACAAATTCGACAGTTGCAGAAGTAAGTGAGACTGCTTGGGTGTGCTAACGGTATAATAGGCTAAGCCTTGGACTGCGGTGCTGGAACCCCATACGGGCACCAGTTTATGTGCCAGCTGCTCTATTTCTGATTTAGCTCCCTGCTTCTGGGCTGGGAAAGCGGCAGAGGATGGCTCATGTCCTTGGGACCCTTCCATACTAGAGACCCAGAAGAAGTTCCAGGCTTCAGATCACCTCAGCCCCAGCTATTGGGGTCATTTGTGGAGTGAGCCAACAGACAGAAGACCTCTTCTCTCTGTCTCTCCCTCTCTATAACTGTGCCTTTCAGATAAACATTTTTTTTTTTAAATAATGAAGTGAGAATGTTCAAGAAACAGATAAACATTTGAAAAACACTTCAACATTCTTATAATTGCAAAGAATTACTGTCTTTAACAGAAAGACAGAATTACAGAAATACTGTCTTTAACATAAGACAGTATGAAAAAAAATACAAGAACAGGAAAAAATGTACAATGAGTTTAAAAGCCGGCTGAGCGAAAAATTAAAAAAAAAAAAAAAGGGAAGCAAAAATAAAAGAAACATTTCAGGACATAAAGCAGAAAAGGCGTTTACGAATAGTTAAACAAATCTTTCCGAGACAGAAGGAAACAGGTAAATGGGTTACAACATTATCGAAGAAGTAACAGCACATTTCTTAACAACAAAAAAAAAATTCCGGAGACTAAGCTAGCCCCGACCAAGGCCTCACGGGATTTCCATTCATTAAAGACAACAGAAAATTTTTAAAGTTTAAGAAACAACAGGATAATCACTGAAGTATAAAAACTAATCTGGTAGGGCCCGACAGTGTGGCCTAGCGGCTTAAGTCCTCGCCTTGAACGCGCCCGGGATCCCATATGGGCACCAGTTCTAATCCCGGCAGCTCCACTTCCCATCCAGCTCCCTGCTTGTGGCCTGGGAAAGCAGTCGAGGACAGCCCAAAGCTTTGGGACCCTGCACCCGCATGGGAGACCTGGAAGAGGTTTCGGGTTCCCAGCTTCGGATTGGCGCAGTACCGGCTGTTGCGCTCACTTGGGGAGTGAATCATTGGTCAGAAGATCTTCCTCTCTGTCTCTCCTCCTCTCTGTATATCTGACTTTGTAATAAAAATAAATAAATCTTTAAAAAAATTAATCTGGTATTAGCTTTTTCAAGGTATGAAGTAAAAACAATAAAGAAATCATAGACATATAAGCACAGTCAACAACAGGAGAGGAGTTGTGCAGTTTGGGTAACTGTACAAGGCAGTGTAGGAACAAGGAAAGCAACTTTCAGAAGAAAATGAATTTTCTAATGCAAATATTATAAGGTTTAGAGATGGCAGTAGGATAAAAAGAATAATAGGGGCGTAACTGTCGTCATCCTCAACCGTGAGAGTTAAAAGGGAACCACTGAAATGGTCTGCCAAGAAAGTGGGGTTCCTTCCGGGAAAGATGTACTGCTCTGCTTTTCTCCCCTCCATGTAACTTTCCTCCTAATGTGGACACTGCAGAGAACCCCAGGGGCCAACGTGAAGCTCTCTTTCTCTCCTCTTCCCTCTCTTCTCTTCTGTCCTTTCCTTCCTGTCCCATCTTTCTTTCCTCATCATGGCCTCACCAATCCCATCTACTCTCATTCATTCATTTAATCCCGTCTTACAGTGACTGCAAACTGTTCAGCTTGCCTCCAGTAACTTGGTGCTTCCATTTGGACAATTCCCAGATCAAACTTAGTATCCCTGCAGCAGAACTCATTTCTTTTCAAAGTTGAACATCTCAACTTTCCATCAGTCTGTCACATCTGAAAGTGAGACCACCACTCGTGAGGTTGTTAAGTCAGAAATCTAAACCATCTCCAATGTCTCCCTTTCCCTCTCCTCCACAGCAAATCCATCATGGGAGGGTTGTTTTTTCCCTAAATACCACCAGAATACACTCTAATTTTTCCCACTATTACTATTTTAGTATGAAATACAATTGTCTATCTACTATTAGCCCAAAGAAAATAATTTTTCTGTTCCTAATCTCTCTCTTCTACAAATTACTTGCCAAAAAATAGGAAACTTTTTGGAAAAACAAAGTCCCATCAATTTTTGGTTTAAAGAAATAAAAAAAAAACAAAAATAAACTTCAAAAGCTTACCAATGCCATGATGATAAAATGCAAAGTCTGTGTGATGACAGTTCAGACCTATATGACTGGATGTGTGTCACCGATGTATTCATTACACTCTAGCACAAACGTTAAGCCCTCCCCCTGACCACCCATCTCATCTCAGGGACCACTTCCCTTCTTCTTAAGTGGCCTTTCTCAGGGTACAGGGGAAATGCATAGCTTGTTCATCCTCATATTCTCAGTGAATGACATAAAGCTGGTGCTCAATAAATATTAGTTGAAACATGTATATGAAAAAAACTCACAGCAAGGCACACAATAATATCAACAGAAGAGCTAAAAACAGAAATATAATTTGTAATAGTTGAAAAAGAGTTCACATAAGAGATTTAAATTTCGCTTTCATTCAACCATGCGATAATTATGCGCTCAGTGTCTGTTATAAACTGAATCAAAACTGAAAAGCAAAGATGAGCCCTATCCACTGGGACTAGTCAATAGGGAATATATGCACGCACATGAATGTAAAACAGAAACAATGTAACGTAGCTCAAGGGGCCTGGCAGCGTGGCCTAATGGCTTAAGTCCTCACCTTGAACGCGCCCGGGATCCCATATGGGCACCGGTTCTAATCCTGGCAGCTCCACTTCCCATCCAGCTCCCTGTTAGTGGCCTGGGAAAGCAATCGAGAATGGCCCAAAGCCTTGGGATCCTGCACCCATGTGGGAGACCTGGAGGAAGTTCCTGACTCCTGGCTTCGGATTGGTGCAGCACTGGCCATTGCACTCACTTGGGGAGTGAATCATCGGTCAGAAGATCTTCCTCTCTGTCTCTCCTTTTTTCTGTATATCTGACTTTCCAATGAAAATAAATAAATCTTTAAAAAAATAATAGTAATAAAGTAGCTCAAAACTGGGGATTGCTTCTACTTCATTTCATATGCTCCTGTAAAAAGTTGGTTTAGACACTGATATTTTTGTATAAGTTGATGGAAGCTATATCCAGCTATGTTTGCTGTGATTAGTTACATGTGGAAAGCACAACAGCAAAGAAAGACAAATATTTTCCTTTTGACTTACAGGTTATTCCAGTAACTGGCCATCTTCATATGGAGAACATTTTTGTTTGTTTGTTTAACAATAAAACAAGATAATTTAGGATTCAGAAAGTCCATTTTAAAACACTAAGCAACAGTATCCTTTACAGCAGCCTCAAACGTACCTCATTTTTTGTTTAGCTTTTTCTAAGGTTTCCAGGTTCTGCAGAACCTGTCTCTCTGGCCATTCCAGAGGATTGGCTTCAGTCAGATTCGAGGAGTCGGCTTCCTCTAGACCAGCTTCTGAAGAGAAACAATTACACAGGAAGTATGGAAAATATTCAGCAAACTTAGCTTGCTACATGACAAAAGAGTAATTTGTCTACACCAGACACGTACGTGTGTAAGCGCTAAGTAAATACTGAGCTCAAGCATCTAGTAAAGGCCTCTCTGCTGCCTGATTTGTGCAAAATGTCACAGAAAAGCTTGCTGGAAATGAAAATAAAATACTCCCAAACAACAAATACCATGCACTAGAATACAGAGAACTGAATGAACATTATGAATATGAATAAAAACATAAAATTACTATTTTTAGTGAGATGAGTTTTAAATGAAAAAGAAGCAACTTTCTGAGAACATATTGGATACAATATATGATTTTCACACCCAAAACAGGAATTAACATAAACAGACTAAAAAAATGCAGATTTTTAAGGAAGACATTGCCTCATTCTCAAAAGTATAACAATCAAATAATAAATAACTTAAAATGATATTCTCAGGTAAAGGTTATTTTAGAAATAATTCTCACTTATCTACTAAATAAAGACATCTTAACATACATATCTGTAAATAATTAACATTGAATATAATTTAATGAAAAACAAAATGAATGTAAAGTGTACAGATATTTTAGCTAAAATATTGCAGTGAAATAAAGACAGTTCTCACACTGGATTCTCAACAAAAATCTAAAGAAATAATTATACAAAAGAAAGAAATGTACATAATTATGCATAAGAATTACCCATGAGAAGATATTCAGCATTCTTCATTTACTACATGATATAAAATGTATAGATTAGACATATGTGTCTGCTAGTCTTATTAGGAATTGATAGTTCATTCAAAGTGTTCCTGTTTCCTTGGAGAAGTTGGGAAATTGACAGTGCCGTAAGGGGGCATTGTGTACTAACTAGCTTGACCGCCACTAAACATGCAGGATGGATTTAATTTTCCTTGCTTTATGAAAACACAGCTTATACAGAAATGCACAAATTCCAATAGTTTAGAGTAAGACCATCAAAAAGGATAACGCAGAAACCAACATACCAAACAGGCTGAATGAATGATGATTCAGAAAGTCTGTGTTATTTAAAGGATGGGAAGCATAGCTGATGTTAACTATAGGTCATTACCATTTAAACTCATTCAATGAATCTGGTTTCATTAATACATCCAGTAAGTTATAATACTAATAGCCATTATAGATACCACACTCAAAAAGCCACTAAGCCTAGAAATAAAAAACTTACCATTCAACATATTGGAGGTTTTAATTTTGTCAATCTGTCCTAAAACTGTTTTAGGGATAACAGCATCAAAACGAGCTAAAAAGCGTTCTCTTGTCAGTATTAACAGACTTCTGAGTTCATCAGCAGAAACCGCTTCAGGCAGATTTGCCAACTTTCTTCTTTCTGTAACACAAACCACATGTCGAGAAGCGAAGAGATGTAGTATTTGTATGTATCTGTACTCCCAAGCAAAAGGAGAACTTTCAATAACTGCTAAATACACCTCGACAATGACAGATTTTCTACCATTGCCTATACGTACAATGCCATGCTACACTTAAGTAGCAGCATGTTGGACCCAGCACGGTATCATAGCAGATGAAGTCCCTGTCTTGCATGCGTGCCAGGATCCAATATGGACACCAGTCCCTGTCCTGACAGCCCCACTTCCCATCTAGCTCCCTGCTTGTGGCCTGGGAAAGCAATCGAGGACGGCCCAAAGTCTTGGGACCCTGCACCCATGTGGGAGCTCCTTCCACCCAGAGGAAGCTCCTTTCTCCTGGCTTCAGATCGACTCAGCATTGGCCATTGCAACCACTTAGGGAATGAATCAGCAGATGGAAGATTTTTCTTTCTGTCTCTCCTCCTCTCTGTATATCTGAGTTTCCAATAAAAATAAATCTTAAAAAAAAAAATAGCAGACTGTCACTAAAGTACTATTGCAATAATGGGGGCGAAATATTGGAGAGAGGGGATGGAGAGGATGTATTTTTCTCAGGTTTATTTCTCAACTGTGTCCAACTCCGGCAGGAAGTGCTGCTGTATTTCGCCCATACTAAAAGAAGTGCAACATGAGAAAGAGATTTAAAAATTAACAAATAGAAAACAGCTCAGCAGAAACAAAAATACTGCAGAGAACAAAAGACAGTCTGCTAAGGTTAATATTCCCATGTAACAAGAAGATATTAAAATAGGCCCAGAATGTTTTCATAAAAGAGCAACAAACAAGAAAGTATCTGGGAGTGGGCATTCGGCATAGCATTTAAGTTGTCTCACGGGATACTTGCATCCAGTTGCCAGTGTAGTTTGCTGCCAATGCATGCCATGGGAGGCAAAAGGTGATGGCAAGTCTTGGAGTCTCTGCCACCCCTCTGAGAAACCTGGGTTGAGTTCCAGTTCTTGGTTTCAGCCAGGTAAGGCCCTGGCTGTAACAGACATCTGACAAATGAATCATTAAAAGGAAGACACTTCTCACTCTTGCTCTCTTTCAAATTCTCAAATAAAGCAATAGAGAACTATATGATTTTTTTAAAAATAAGACTATAAATGAGAGCTCCAATTCTAATATATATATATATACATATATACACACATATGTACACACACACACACATATATATACATACATATATATATATAAAAGCTCTAAAATAAATGAACTGGAAGGCCCAGCAAATTGGCTCAGTGGTAAAGCCTCGCCTTACACATGCCAGGATTCCATATGGCATTGTTCATGTCCCAATGCCTCCACTTCCTTTACAGCTCCCTGCATGTGGCCTGGGAAAGCCTTGGGACCCTGCACCTGTGTGGAAGACCCGGAAGAAGCTCCTGGCTCCTGGCTTTGGATTGGTTCAGCTGCAGCTGTTGTGGACATCTGAGGAGCGAACCAGTGAACAGAGGACCTTTCTCTCCATAAATATGCCTTTCCAATAAAAATGAGAATAAATAAAATGAAATGAACATAGGAAAGAAAATTAGACATTCTGCCTATGTATGCCAGCGTCATTACGATGGCCTATCAGGCACATCGCTGACGGCATGGTAGGAGATATATATCTACGATTCACAGTCAAGGTTCCAGGGAGGAAGAAAACAACAACAACAGAAAACCACCAAGATCTCAGCAAAGGATAAGAATAGCATGAGATTTATCAATAGGCATACAGCAAAGACGATGACAACAGAACAATGCCTTCAAAATTCTGAGAGTAAGCAATTTTAAAATTTCAAATACTATAAGCTGTCAATCAAATTATTTTCCAACATGCAAGAAACCAAGCATATTTGTCATTCAAGAACTTCTGCTGAAGAAGCTACCAGACAATATACTTCAACAAAAAGATGGAATAAGCCAGAGTAAAGAATTAAAGGTCTAGGATAAATGACATTCTAAAGGTAGAAGAGCAGCCACAGAAGAGTTCTCCAGGCTGTCAGCAGGTCTAAGAAGCAGTCCGTTCATGGAGGAGCAACAATGGAAAACACTGCCCTGCAAAACTACTAAGGAAGCACAAAGGCGCCGATGCGCTCTAACAAATAGTGAATGCTGATGCTGTGGAAGTGACAGGAGTCTCGGAGCCTCTGCAAAACATACTTTGTCCATTTGGAAGCGTAAAACTTAAAAGAAGATCTGATCATCTTCATTTGTTACATGGTTCAATGCACGGACTTATAAAGTTATAATAATGCTTAGTAAATCACTGATTTAACCAGAACTCAGGACGTAAGGGAAAGCGAATATGTGTGAGGACACTTAAGGCTTTGGCCACCACAGATACAAGTTAAGCTAGTGCCTGAAATGGTAAATGAGGAAACAGTAGAATGCATACACTGCTTAGAGAAATGGAGCAAAGGCCAGAAGATCCAGCTGGAAGAGCGGGCGATTGCTCTCTACACACACACCGACAGGTGAGGAGTCGGGAGGGCAGGGCCTTTTTCCAACAGCATCTGCTTTCCAACTATATCAATATAACACTTTGATTAAAAAACATGCCATTTAAAAATACTCACGGACTAATAGCAAGTTCTCCAAAAATAGGAGGATGACCTATAACCTCATACAAAGTTCAAATCAAAAAACAGTTCTTGTGAACTCACTGCCTGCCCTGCACTGAGCCCCACCGTGAGACACAGAAAATTAAAGCATACTACGTTACACTGTGCAAGATCAGTACACAAAGAGTGGAAGGCAACGGGCTGAGAAGGCGCCATCCCGCCTAGAGGTTCCCCTGTTGAATGGCAGCTTTTTTTTTAAGATTTATTTATTTTTATTACAAAGTCAGATATACAGAGAGGAGGAGAAACAGAGAGGAAGATCTTCCATCCGATGATTCACTCCCCAAGTGAGTGCAACGGCCAGTGCTGCACCAATCCGAAGCCGGAAACCAGGAGCGTGGGTGCAGGGTCCCAAAGCATTGGGCTGTCCTCTACTGCTTTCCCAGGCCACAAGCAGGGAGCTGGATGGGAAGTGGAGCTGCCGGGATTAAAACCAGTGTCCATATGGGATCCCGGCACGTGCAAGGTGAGGACTTAAGCCACTAGGCCACGTCGCTGGGCCCTGAATGCCAGCTTTATGACACATTCTTCTATAAAATTCCATCTCACCAGCATGGCTGTTGGTAGGCTTTCCAGATCCAACCCAAGATAGTCACACAAGATTTCTGCAATCAAGGAACTTTAGAGATGACCAAATGGAAAATGTAGCTGAAGCAGTGGTAAAATCAGAACTGTGATATGTCCTGCTCCTAGTTTGCATCCTCAGAAAATAAAAGCTGCTCTACCGTTCTTATTTTTGCACAAACTGCTAAGACTCATTTTGAAACGTATCATTGGTTTGCTTTCATCTGAAAGACCTGTAATGATTAATGAGCTTCAGAAACTACTAGCTTCCACCTTTTTACTAATACTAAAAATACACTCAAGTCATGAACTTAAACCTGCATTTATTAAAACTGCCAATTTTATCATACTTTAGAGAAACACTAAGAATTCATATTGACCTTAATGACTGAAAAATAAGAGAAAACAGATGGTGTTTCACTATGAAACAGGGTAATTTACATAGTCATAGGAAAATCTCTACACAATGAAATTTGCATAAAAGTAAGGAATATACATTTGGGTGGAGAATATTAAAGTAGAAAAAGCTTGCCGTGTTCCTGAAGAGGCTCCCAATAATTAAGGATTCATCAAACAAGAACCAACAAGAAAACTATGAGTTTCTGCAGACCGAGCATCAGTCAGGTTTGCACCAGGTTCCAGAATTTTGCTAAATGCCTGAGGGGAGCTCAGAGTAGTGATCACAATACTAAAAAAAACAAAAAAAAAGAAAAGAAAAAAAAAGAAACACCGCTCTTCTTCTAATATTTATCTTGCTTCATACTAAATAGTCTTATTTAAAGTGATTTGGTACTAAGCTTTTTCTCGAAAAATCAGTGAAAAAATATATTTACATTTACAAATATAAAAATGTACAATAGTAGAAAAAATACAAAACATAAAACTAAAAAATAGGGCCCAGTGCAATAGTCTAATGGCTAAGATCCAAACCTTGCCCACGCCGGGATCCCATTTTGGTGCTGGTTCTAATCCCGGTGGTCCCACTTCCCATCCAGCTTCCTGCTTATGGCCTGGGAAAGTAGTCAGGGATGGCTCAAAGCTTTGGAACCTTGCACCCGCATGAGAGACCCAGAAGAGGCTCCAAGCTCCTGGCTTCGGATTGGTGCAGCTCTGGCTGTTTTGGTCACTTGGAGAATCAATCAACGGATTGAAGATCTTTCTCTCTGTTTCTCCTCCTCTCAGTATATCTGGTTTTCCAATAAATGTTTTGAACAATAAATCTTTTTAAAAAGTAAAAATTATAAAAATTATAAAACTTATAATGATTAAAATTATTATAACCAAGTTATAAAAATAGCCTTTCTAAAATAATGGCATTAGATATAATTTTCAAATAAACTAAAATTATGGTAAAGCTAATACCTAACAGATTGCATTTTCTATGTTATGTTTGAAAAGCAAAATACCTCAAGCGTGCCCTGAGTCAGCACACTTCTTTTTCTAACTGTTCTATCTCAAAAGTAGTGAGAGTAGTAAGATAGGAAATGTTAACTCAATATATTGCTGATAATTTTGAAGAAATCCTTTTCAACAAATCTTATTTTGCTGCAAGAAATGCAATCTTTATACCGAAGTTGAATCCCTGATTACTCTTTGCTTCGTTACAATTCCAGCTATCTTAATACATTTGTAGTTTTTCCCATGGTACGAATGAATGAACTCTAAATACCTCAACAGACTTTTGTGCCATTTCTCTTATTTGGATATCACCGAAGTAGATACTTAGATATGCTTACACTAGTACTTTTGTTTAACTGTCATTTTCCTCTGCCTTTGAGATTAAAAAAATTGAACAGCTGCTTCTTTGCTCCTACATTTTTAATCTACTTTCCACTCTCTAGGTAGAAAGCACTTACATCACAAACGGATGGGGCAGGTCACTAGTTTGAATTAGGATAGACGGTTTCAAATCATCAGTCGTTGCATGGATATTCCCAGAGCTGACGTTGGGGCAGTGAGCAGGAAAGCCTTTCTGGGTTTCAGATCCCTGCTGCCCTCTGCCCGGGGCACACAGGCTCAGCGCTTCCTGACTCCCTTATGTCCTCCTCATGCTGTAGAACTTTCATTCACACCTTGAGGCGGCAACCTCATGGTGGCTGTCAGGATTTCCGGCCCACTCAGCCAGCAGGGCCCTGACATAGCATCCCCTTCTCCCCCTGCTTCGGAGAGCTCCCAGCTCTCCTGCCCTGACAGTGTTTCTGACCGCAAGGCTGAGCAAGAGAGGTGAGGATGAACAAGTAGAGATAGTGAAGGAACTGAGTTATGAAAAACTGTAAGAGGCTTATGCCAAAGAAATTGGGACCTGAAGGGTTTTGGGCAAGAATAAAACAAAGTCAAGGAGTGAATAATACTGCTGGCAGATGTTTGTAATAAACATTTACATCCCACAAAAATACTGTTTTTTCCAAATATTTTTTTCTTGCTTTTAGCATGCACTACTTTTATTTAAACAGATCTGCTTTTCTAATCATATCTCCCGTGAATGAACATCATTTTCTCAAGTGAAAAAAAAAATCAACAATTGCAGCTCAAGAATACACAGTATGAATTTACACACTGGAAGTTTAAGATCCTTACAAGAATAACTGAGACTAAGTTTTCTAAAATTATCTTCCATTGCATAAGCAGGCTACTAAGTTTGAGATATTTCGAATATTTTTTTAAATGGTAGTTTTTATATAGTCCTAATGTGCAACTGATCCAATGGCTGACAACTATAACAATGACTCATAACAGTAAGCTCATAATTACAGCAATGAACTTAGGAGTGATAACAACAATAACAATAATAACAATACAAGTAAACTCTTAGATTATGACTCCTCAAAGAGCGTTAATATCCCAAATAAGAAAAGCTCATAAAGTCAATTTTTCACAGTACATGCAATGTGATCAGTTACTATTGATGGTCATGATTAAAGTCTAAGAATCAATGCTCAAGTTAGAATATTAATTTCACTGGACTTTCATTTTCCTCTATTTGTAGTCTCTTATCTTCCTGCTACCAAAATTAATATATATTAATTCTACGAAAATATATATTAATTCTACATTGGTTAAAACAATAACGTATCTTTTTCAAACACATAGCTTAAGATAAATATGAAACACAAATTTTAATAGGAAAATATTTTTACAAATGTTAACAGTGACGTACACAAATAAACAGCAATCTTCTGAGTCTGGTGAAAATAAAATTGCAGATCACTTCTACTCTACCTCATCTCTGTCAAGAGCAGTTCTGTAACAAACAGCATCACTCTAAAACAACACAGAAGACAAGGTGTGCAAATGAGGACAGCTTACATCGAACAGGCCAGCTTCCTACGCGAGGAGTAAGCGCACCAATTGTTACTTACTCAGGTATTCTTTAAAGACCAAAGCTTGAACACTAGCTAACTGTTTTTCTCTTTGTATGATCTGGTCCCCAGAAAAATGTGGAAGTGGTAATAAATCAAAAGGAAAATCTGAAAAAGAAACAAAACATTAATGAAGTTGTACAGCAACAATCACTGTTTAATTCCTAGAAAATGGAAATACGCTACGACATGATTTAAAAAAAAAAAAGATCACTTACCTCTCTTGATCTTAGGGATTTTAAGATAACAATTAAGCAGAAGAACACAAACATACTAAATTACTCTGCATTTCAAACTTTAACATGATTCTTAGATAGTGGGAACTGAAGTTAGCAGAAATAGAGATGGAGATAGCACCTGTCTGCAGTAATACACAACCCCTACTATCCTACCTTGTACAGTCTCTTCCACAATGAAGCTAGGCTAGACACGTGTGCTGGATGCTCCAAAGATAGTTCTGACTGAGCCTCTTCCTTCTAGGGCTTACAATAACTGCAGAATCTGCTGGAAATGTACCATTTTGAGATAAGGAGGGACTGCCCAGAACAACTTGGCCTTTGTTCTAGACCCTCCTGATGGATATTACATCAGAGATAGTGCAGAACTGCTCGGAAAGCCTGGATCGGATACATCTCTCTGCTAGAAGCAGATGTCCTGCAAAGCTGTGTCCAGTGAATCGTAGCAGCCAGGAAGAGTCATATTTTAGGGTTCCTCAGCTGTGGTTCTATGGGCTCACATGTGGTCAAAACTTCATCTGCCCTAGGAAGTTCCCTTGAGCCTAGAGTGTCCATCCCAGAATGAACTGTACCATTCTTCTGTCCTCTACTATCTTTTGGTCAGTAGTAAATTCACTTTGGATAACTTGTGGATGGGCATGCTCTGACAGCCAACATGGTAACCAGAGCATGGCTGACCTACACAACAGCTCAGGTGCAACGGGTTCAGCTATCTGGACTGTTGCTCCCAGTGGATGGCCTGGTCATTTTTTCTACTCTCCACATTGTGGCCATGGCCAATTGAGACCGTGCTTCATACAATGCACAAATAATGTATGCTTTAAAATGGTATGGCAATCAGCAGCAAGTGTGGGAGCCTGACTCATTTTCACATGTTGTGGATGCATCTCTGGGAGCTTGCAGCACCCTTCAACTGTCACAGGGAGCACATCTGTTACTCAAACCACAGACACATGTGCAACAAAAAATGATATAATGACCTTCAGTAATTTTCTACTGAACAAGTTAATCAATTTTCTGCCATTAGTAGGTATAAGTCACGAAAAAACAGTGACACTGAATGACTTCTATACTAGCTCACAAAAAGCCTTGTGATTTCTTAAAACAACTGCTCTAAAAGAAATCTGAACTCCTGTAAGAAGCCGGACTACCCTGAGATCACAATATTGTGAGAAAACTCATGCTGCTCATGGGCAAGGTCTTTTGGAAGAAAATCAGGGCTCATCCCTTCTAGTCATCCTGGCCCAAGCACTAAACGTGGTGATGAGGAAGCCATCTTGGACGCCACGCCTGGGGAGTGTGCACATGCCTGGGGCCCCACCTGCATGTGACTCCAATCACATCGAAGAGCTCAGAGCAGAAACAGCAGCAGCATTCACTGAACTCACAGAGCCATAGCAGGAATAACGAGTCGTTGCTTTTACAGTACAACTGGGTGGTCTGGTAAACTTAGTGCTTAGAGACAGAAGGGTAATAAACAGAACATGAGGCTTCAAAATAAAATTTTTAAAATAGATTGTAGAAAAATATTATGTGTCTAAAGTACAAAACAGCAAAAAATTGTTTCTGAAGCAAAGGCCGATCTATTGGATATTTCTGGGCATAACTTAAAAAGAACCAATTCTCTGCACTTTAAATTCTAAACATGTGCTATAATATGGTTAAAACAAAAAAACATATTAATAAAAGAAAAGGAGTTTTGGGATTACAAGCTTATTAAACTAGGCAATTTTTTTCCGCTTAAAGCCACGTAAAAGTTAAGTATATTTACAAACAAACTTAAAAATGTTTTTCTATCCAGTGTTCACACTTACTCGGTTTGGCTTCTTCTCTCTTGCTCTGCATCTTCCCATGAATTAAGCTGAGCGCAAATGAGCCACTGATCTGACTGGCTGAGTGTATCAGTGTGGCTTTACATCTTGTATTGCCATCACCCTGTATCAAGAGATAATAGCTCGAAAATTCCCCTTTCACTTCAACATCTGGAACTAAGGAAAAACAAACAAACAAACAATTATCCTTCAGTATGGGAAATTCCACATACCACACAGCAGGACCATACAATGTCTTAGGGAATTGAATAAATCAGAGCAAGCCGACACATGGCTAACGGCAGTCCACGTCATGGAGGAGGCTGCTAAAATCAAAGCATCATAGCCAAACTAATAGTCACAAAGTATGAACATTTTATTTTAAATTACGACTGCATTCATGACTGGTGTTATGGTATAGAAGTTAAGCTGCCATCCGCGAAGCTGGCATCACATACAAGCACTGGTTCAGGTCCTGGCTGCTCCACTTCCCATCCAGCTCCCTGCTAATGCGCCTGGGCCCTTGGTCCCCTGTGCCCATGTGGGAGGCCTACAGGGAAAACTCCTGGCTCCTGGCTACAGCCTGGTCCAACCCTGGCCACTGAGGACATCCGGCAACTGAAACAGTGGATTGAAGACCCCTCGGTTTCTACCCTCCCTTTCTCTGTAACTCTGCTTTTCAAATAAAATACATAAATCTTTTATGAAAAAAACACTCATTAACTTTTGATGTTGCTTACTAGAGTTTCACAACATCTTTCTTACATAACCCCATTCCTTCTCTACTACTATGTCCAGATTTTATTTCTTCACAGTGTGAAGAACAGACTCCAGCAATCACAGCTCCATTGCTGGGAGCAGAAGTGTGGCGATATACTTCAGAGTAGCAGTGCGCATCTATGACGCACTTCACAAAGGAACAGGAGCATTCATTAATCTGGTTGTCAGCGACGTGAAGGTCAGTCAGGACAGCTTCTGGCATACTGGAAAAATAGCAGCAGAATCCTCACTGTTGAAGATGTCAGTACTTATTGCCACTGCTTCTTAAACGTCTACTAAGTGAAAACAGATTTTTAAAACAGTATACATCTACAATGTCTAATATCTGGAGATGAGAAAACAGCAATTAAAATTTGAAAGTATCTGAACAATTTGTAACAGTTCAATTTCTCAGTTATTACAGAAGCTGAGAAGAATATTGGGGAAAATTCAGAAAAAAAAAAAAAACACACACATTTTAAATTCTAGGTACCCTCTAAAGGGCTCTAGAATAGCATCCCCAGACAGTGTTGGAAGCGAAATGAAGTGGGGAGAAGAAGGCATGTGAAAGTCAGCCTGAGGAGCAGTGAGATGGCCTGGTCCCTCCCTATTTCATTCAGACAAATGACTGTCTTTCAAGCCGAGAGGAGAGGCTCACTCTCGGGAGACAGTGAAACAAGGTATCTACAGCCCAGGGAAAAGAAGGCAGGCCAGGGAGTTGGAGTTCTGGACTGATTATTAGTTAATCTGAGTCAGACATGGGAACAATTTTTCTGCCAAGGGCTATTTGGATACTTACAAGATCATTCATGAGTCATACAAAATGATCAACTTAAAAATTGGCCCGCCACAGACATATTGAATTTCAAGTCCTGCCTGTGGTTGTCTTGGTAAGGCCATCACAAAAGCTTTCCCAGGCCTTACGTGGCCTGCAGGCTCGCCGTTCTCCATCCCTGATCTAAGAGAGCATTTGAATATTGCATGTCATGGCTCTTTACATTCCTTCTCCTACAAAACTTCCTGATTTGTGGAATCCAGATAGCTGAACTGGGCCTTCCTTTGGAAATATAGCCACCACTAGAGGACAGACTGAAGAATCTCAACACCACGTGGGTATGGAGGGAGGTGGAGGAGACATGAGTAGTAGTCAATTGATATCTTAAGATAAAATGAAGATCACAGTCAATAACCTCTCATCAAACACCATTTTTCCAACAAGCCTTTTAATACTCTAAATATAAAGAGGTAACCCAAAATTTTGAGACTTCAAGGAAGTTTTCCAAAATGAAAACCAGACACCAGAATCGATACGAAAAACAATTTACAGGAAGACAAAACAAGGTCTTAAAAACAAGTTACAGACAGCAATTAAGATGACTAAAATCACCATAAAAAATAACACATTCATAAACAAGGACAGACAATGACTATCGCCTGTGTAGAAGAATTCTGAGTATGCGTATCATTAACTACAAGCACCATGCCTTGCAGTTCCTAGACACATTTACCGTGGATAACCAAAATTCTACACCCTTCAACTAAGCTCTCCCAATGGCACCTCCCCACAGCTTTTCCACTGCCATTTTATTCTGTTTCTATGAGTTTTGGCAATTGTGAGATAAATAGCTGGAATAGGTGGAAACTTCAGAAGATGATGCATATTTTTATAATACAGATTACGGTACCTGCATGGAAGCACACTTATCTCCAAACACATCAACTGTATATATTAAGTGTGTAGCTCTTTGTATGTTGATCATATCAATATCTAAATACAGCCGGTTAAGAAAGAACTCATGAGAATTAAACTTAATTAAAAATTAAGTGTTTCAACTTAACATTAAAAATTAAGATAGGGTCCAATGCGGTAACCTAGTGGCTGAAATCCTAGCCTCGCACACTCTGGGATGTCCTGTATGCCAGTTTCTATTCCCGGCTGACCTACCTTCCCATCCAGCTCCCAAGCTTCCCAAGCTTCCCAAGCAGCCGAAAATGGCCCAAAGCCTTGGGACCCTGCACCTGCATGGGAAACCTGAAGAGGCTCTGGGCTTCTGGTTCCTGGTTTTGAATGGACTTAGCTCTGGCCGTTGTGGCCACTTGGGGAGTGAATCAACAGATGGAAATCTTCCTCTCTGTCTCTGGTCTCTCTGTGTATCTGACTTTCCAATAAAAATAAAATAAATATTTTTTAAAAATTAAGACATAAATTGTAGTAGTAGATCTACCAGAATATTGAGCAAATTGAAAAAAGAACTGAAAATAGAAAATAGCACACACATCAGAGAAAACAGAATGGTAATATCAAGTAGGATTTTATAACATTCCAGGGGAAATGCTCCAGCGCTCCTGCCAGGAATGCAGAATGGCACTAATCTTCTGGACAACAACGTTAAAAGTTAGGAGACAGAAACACCTTCCACCACGCTAAAACAAAACGGTCTCCATCCTAGCCCACCGCAAGAAAGCATGAGCATAGAATCAAACTTCTCCAGCCACACAGGGTCTCAAATTGTTTCTTTTAAAGTTGTTCTTTCCCAGGAAAACTTTAAAGAATGTGGCCCACCAAAATTGGGGAATAAATATCTGAACATAAAGGCTACAATGAACCAACAAAGAAAAACCAGAAGAAATCATGATGATGAAATGCAACTTTTGTACCCAAAAGCCACAGAACAAACCTAGAGAGTAAAACCACACAATCCCATGGCCGAAGATCTGAGAGACTTCCTAAACATACATAGCTGATAGAATAGTATGATCCAAGGTTGAATTGTGAGTACTAGCCGCACAACCCTAACATCAAAAACAATGAATGCTAATCTAAAATTAACACAGGCCACTCTGAAACAACAGGGAAATGAAGACTGAAGGAATAGTGAAAGCAACCAAGAGAAACGGAGCTGAATCCTCCTAATTCTCTAATGGTTAGTCAACTCTTACACTTTAAAGAATGGCAATATAAGTAGCTGAATTATTTGTAATTGATAATAGTTGGTTCTAGAGAAGAAGAAATAAAAAGGGAAATGGCAAGAACAGCTCACTTTCAAAAATATTTTTGAAACGTAACTGCACAGAAGAAGAATGAAATTTACCCATGTAAACAATTTCACAGCTTTTCCATACATTCAGAGTTGCATGACCATCAACACCATCTAATTCTAGAGCATCTGTATTTCTCCAAAAGAGAAACCCCACATTCACAAGCAGTAACTGTTTATTTCACAAATCTCAGAACATCTTAAAACATTCTTGTTTAAATATTATGTACCTATGGCATTGCGAAAACATTAAATGCAAAAATAAGCATTCAAAATTAAATTTACTCATAAGGAACAGAAATTACAGACATAACAGCATTATATATTAACTAACACTTCTGATTACATTTCTTCACTTGTACTTACAAATAAAGTGGTGGATAATGACAAAGGCAAAACTGCAATTAAAGGAGAGGGTCACTGGAAGAAGACAAAGGACTCATTAAAGAGATGTGCACTCGGTCATTCTCTGAATGCTATGCAGAAATTCGGAAAAGCATAAAAGTACAGAAAGAACACAATGAAATGTAACAACAGGGAATAACCAATAAATAACAATACTAAGTAATCCTTTTCCACCACAAGGACCACTACCTCATGACCCCCAAAGCTATGATATGTGGTACATGACTAAGGTTCAGTAATGTTGACTAACTCATAAGACAAGTCAAACGATCCAAGTAGCCACAAAGTGTGAGCATTCATCGTGGGAGGTTTCTTGGAATACTGATAGACTAAAAATAATAGAGATGACACCAAACTAAAGAATGGCAGAAAATGCAAAATATTTTCATAAGAAATCACTTGAAAAATTCTTCAAAATAACCATGGGCAACCGAGAGGATTCATTTCCGGGCTGGCTCTTCCCAGAGCCTATATAAATGTGTCTTATTGAAAAGTCACCGTTCTTCTCATATCAACCATCAGTGTTGACCCCTGCAAATACTCGCACCGCAAGAAGCTGCCCCAGGTCCGCTGTCTTGTACACGGGCAATCATATCTGCTCCTGACTGTCCCAATCCAAAGCTACGCCACAGGTAAGCGAGAGTTACTTCTTCAAAAAGTTATCTGTGTCTCTATTTCCCTTAGGCTTATGTTGGGAGCCAACAGGAAGGCAGGTGAGGTGATTTATGAATGCATTTTGCAATACTACAAGGACAACTGATAAAATCATCCTTATACTTTTAGAGTAAATGAATAAAATTTCATCTGAAAAATATACTAAAACTGGAAAATTCCACAAGAGCATGAGAGAGATACCACACCAGCCATGACCTGCTTTTCCCAACTCACTCCCAGCAGAGGTGGACAGAAAGTTCCAACTGGGACAGATAAAGACTCTCAGATGGCAGCTGAAGGTTACAGTGTATCTTGGGGAGG